GTGCGAAACTCTCCTCAAAACAAATCCAGGTCCAACAGGAAGGTCAACCACACACCCACCAACCTAGCCCCAGTTGCGATTGAGCATCAAAGACTTCCCAACAACTGGTAACCTGCGGGACCTGAAGTTCAATTTTGTTTGTGGAGTGCAAAACTCTGCTCGAAACAGATCCAGGTCCAACAGGAACGCCAACCACAAACCCACCAAACTAGCCCCTACGGCGGACCTCAGCATCAAAGACTGCTCAGCAATTAATAACCTGCGAGAAACAAATTTACACCCCACATCAGGGTTCCGTAAGAGTGCTAATGGCAATCCGCACAGACAACCAGCGACTGTTTGACACTTTTTGAAGGTGCTTAGTCAGCAAACAGATCACGACCTAACATCAATATAACATCAAGGTTCCCTAAGAGTGTTAATGGCAATCCGCATAGAGAGCCAATGAGAGTTTGACACTTCCTTAGGTGCTCTGTCAAACACCGATAACTGCGAATTGATTCGTTGTTCAACTAGTATATGTCGATGTCTTTCCGGGTTAGAGCAAGGACCTCGGGTCCTCTCTCTCTCTCTCTCTCTCTCTCTCTCCAAACTAGTCTAAGTGGCGGACTTCAGCATCAAAGACTGCCCAACAACTGATAACCTACGGGAAGCAAATCCATACCCATCATCAAGGTTCCCTAAGAGTGCTAATGGCAATCCGCACAAACAACCAAGGACTGTTTGACACTTCTTGAAGGTGCTCAGTCACCAAACAGATCACGACCTAACATCAACATGGCATCAAGATTCCCTGAGTGCTAATGGCAATCCGCACAGAGAGCCAATGACTTTTTGACACTTCCTTAAGGTTTTTTGTCAAACACCAATAACTGCGAATTGATTCGATGTTCAACTAGTATCTGTCAATGCCTTTCCGGGATAAAGCAAGGAGTTCGGGCCTCGGGCCCTCTCTCTCTCTCTCTCTCTCTCTCTCACACACACACACACACACACACACACACACACACAACCCAGAATCAACTTGGCATCAAGGTTTTCTAAAAGTGCTAATGGCAATCCGCACAGACAACCAACGACTGTTTGACACTTCTTCAAGGTGTTTGATCGCCAAACAGATCCGGAACCAGCATCAAGACCCCCTAGGAGTGCTATTGGCAATCGGCACAGAGAGCCAACGATTGTTTGGCACTTCCTTAAGGTGCTTTGTCAAACACCGATAACTACGAATTGATTTGATGTTTAACTAGTATTTGTCACCCCAAGAAGGATGCCCTTCCGGCAAGGAAAATGACGAACACATTTGTTTCAGGGATATTGACGGGTTGCGGGTTGGTTAGTGCACCAGGCTGGGTGTTCCGCCCGACCACAGTTGATGGGTTCATCCATGAACTTGCAAGGTGTCGGGCGTCAGACCCCTTACATTTTATGGAACATAGGACCACATACCCACTGGTAGCAAATTGTCATAAAGATAGCCCTGCCTTCACAAGCGATTATCGGGTAGCTGAAAATTCATGAATGAAAATTCTGAAGTGAGAGTTTTAGGCAGTCTGAAAATTATGAATGGTACTGAAGTGGTGAAAGGTCCGAAGACCCTGAAAACCACCTTTTTAGGCAGGCTGCATTCTGAAGTGGTAAAGGGTGTCCTGAAGTGGTCAAGTGAGAGTTTTGGGCAGTCTGAAAATCATGAATGGTCCTGAAGTGGTGAAAGGTCCGAAGACCATGAAAACCACCCTTCACCACTTGAGGATGCAGCCTGCCTAAACAGGTGGTTTTCAGGGTCTTCGGAGCTTTCACCACTTCAGGACCATTTAGGATTTTCAGACCTGAATGGTCCTGAAGTGGTGAAAGGTCCGAAGACCCTGAAAACCACTTGTTTAGGCAGGCTGCGTTCTGAAGTGGTGAAGGGTGTCCTGAAGTGGTGATGAAAAATACGACTGTTGTTAACCTTCTCTCCCTGCCTTTTAATATCATGTAGTGTGACTGTCACAGTGGTTCCTTACACCTAGCCAGGACAACAAGATGTGACAGTCGTACAAAGAGCCCATGCCCTTTTATGTTGTGCAGTGTTGTTCCTTGTACCTAGTCAGGAGGACGAAAACCTTTTTTGTACATTATTAATTAGCATTTAATAATGACTATTCATGTACAAAGGGCTCAAAACGCCCCACCACAACATTCACCCATCAACACCACATATACTGACCATTTATCCTCACTTAAAGTATCGCATAATGCCCTATTGGCCAATGTACATTGTATTCATTCACATTAGAAATAGTTCACTTTTTGGAAAATAATTCAGTTTTAACGAAATGTGTATTAATACTCTTCACCTGTGTAGCATTGTGTTCGAGTTCGGTGACCGAACCCGAACGTTCGGGACCGAACGAGAACGAGCGTCGAAACTCTCCGAACGCGAATATAAAAATTAAAAAAAAAAAAAAAAAAAAAATAGTTCTCCAAAAAATATGAAAACAAACTATGTTTTCGGTTGAATACAGTTAGAATAACTCTTTATTATACCCCACAGGCGGCTACGTACTTACTAGCTATGATTGTGATGGAGTGCATATTTTTCTCCGAGTCACTCTCACGTCAATGTCGTTGCAGAATTTCTGACGATATGTTTTTTTCTCTGTCTGCTGCGGTGTTGTGGCTACTACTTCTTCGAGCAATCTCGTGATCTGAGTCAAGGATCTGAGGACTTCGGCTTCTMGGGGGATGATACATCTATACCAACCGCTTCTTCGCGCCTCAACTCTGGTACTAAAGTCTCCACGGCGTCCTCACACGAAYGAATCAGGATACTGTCAACGATGGATACATCCTCTATGAAGTTATCAAGGCACCTTGACACTCCAGACTTGTTATATAGTTAGCACATATCGACTGAGACGTCTGACGGAATCCAAATGCAACAAGAAGTACTATTTTCGTAATTTCGTCATCTGACGGCATTCGAATTCGATAGCAGTATTGTTCCCGTGAGCCCGGCCTCGTAATTTCAGACACTCAGAAGGTTTTCAGTCAGCGACACAACTCTGAAGAAACGGTTGAAAGAGACTCTACACATAAGAATCTTTCCCGCCTTTGGCGACAGGCGGGAATGGCGGTTTGAGTGGCTTCTAACCATCATTTCCAGGCTTGCATCCTTCCTCGTCCCCTTTTCGCTCTTTCGGGATAGTTAGCATGGGCACTTTTGCCGTGATATCTAGGATAAGTAAGGCTTCAATTTTTTTAGGGTATTTTGTCCGAAATAACACGTGGTACTGATGGTTAAATGACCTAGAATAGGACCCCGCTCACAAGATCCTCCTTCCCTCCCTCACGTTCTCTCTCTCTCTCTCTTTCTCTCTCTCTCGCTCTCGCTCTCTCTCTCTCTCTCGCTCTCTCTCCCTCCTCTCTCTCTCTTTCTCTCTTTCTCTCTCTCTCTCTCCCCTCTCTCTCTCGGTTAGATTAGCTCACATGGACGTGCTTCATGGATAGAATACTGAGCTCGATTCTTCGTGTATGCTGTGTGGATCTAGTATATATACCCCTTAGGTTCGTGATTGAGTACGAGCTAACTGTCCCTTGATGATTTCGCCACTGGCGGGCGAATGAAACGCGTAGGGACCTCGCCAGAATGACTCTCTCTGTTATGTATCAGATTTACCTTAATTGAGTGCCATTATATTTTCGCGTGTATATCTTTCTCCATGGATTTTTTTGTACTTTCCACATGACTCTCTCCATGACTTTCTTTGTCTTATCTATCTCCTTCTCCATCTCCTCGACATCTCTTTCTCTATCTGTTCTCTGTCTGTGCATCTGTTCCCGACTATTCTCATGACTCTTCATGTTTTTCCTCACTCCATCTCCTCTTCACATTATTGCAGTCGGCCTCTCGTGCTGATCGCTCACCCTTACATCTGAGGTAGCGTCTTCAACCACTGCGTTAGTCGTAGAATGGTGTAGACGCAATAAGGTGATTCGTACGAACTTAGCTTCTTGCTTAAGTCAGCAGTACCTCACCTTCCCTCCTCCCTCCCTTACCATCTTGATATATATATTTTATGGCATCAATTATCTATTATCGAGTTCTTATCCGACTTCCTTCATCTGATCCATATATCTTCCAAGAGTGCTTTGTTGGGTGCTTACACTGCTTTCTAGGAGAACTCGCCGGTCGATTTTATCTTCTTCGAACAAACGGCGTCGTGAGTATCTATATCTGTGTTGTATCACTTTAGGCCAAGATGGCCGACGACGGTCATTTTCCGGCTTATGATAGAGTATGTTACAATTGTAGACAGCCTGGCCATTTCGCCAGGAACTGTCCCTATCCTCGTCAGGATGGACTCATCTCAGGTGTTCCAGTTGGAAGGGCGGCAGCGGTTCCACAGCCACTTCACGTTCCTCAATCGTATGCTCAAGCGGTCTATGCTCCATCTGCACCGCCAATGCCGCAAGCACCTGCTCATCAACCTCACCCAGCGAATTTGTCGCCCACTTCGTCCAACGCCAATGCGATAGTGCCGTATAGACCTAATCCGATAGCTTCAGGTGCACTCTAGGCTCCGATGCAAAGGAATAATGACACCGAGGTGGTCTCTCTTCTCAGGGAACTCGTTAACGATAGGAGGGAAGAGAAGAACAGACGACGGGGTGAGGAGGACCGGCGCCGAAGAGAAGAACAGGTCAGGATTGAGCAGGAACGGCAGAGAAAGAGGTTGGAGGAGAAAGAAGCTCGACAAGCTGAGAAGGAAGCAAGGATGGCTCAGATTATGAACAAGAAGCTGGAAGAACTGGACAGGCAACACCAAGCAAGGACGCAGGAAGAGCATATGAAGATTTGGAGGGAGCTTGAGAAAGTAGTAGGAGATCCGAAATGTGGGAAACAACCGGTTAGAGACGAAGCGGATAACAAGAAGAGAACACAAGATGAGATAGGAGGTTCTCCACCGGTTCTACCTACCCAAGGTAAACCACGAGTAGAGGAGAACATGAAGAATCCGGAGCCACGTCTGTCGGGCCTGGATGTCGGACTGTTGTTAATGGAGATTGACAACGTCCAGAGAGCACAAGACACACAGTTCGGCCTGATACAACGAATGATGGCAATTGTCGAGAAGCTAAGTTCTACAGCTCCAAAAGGTGTTGTGACACAAGGGGTCGCCCAACCACGCACAGACCCCGGACCTTCTGACCCACCTCCACCACCACCCCCCACTCCGATGAGTTCGAACCATCCGCCCCCTCCCCCTCCCCCACCTCCTCCACCCCCACCTCCTCCACCTCCACCCTATCCCAGGAAGACTGTTCCAGGATCTGCAGGACCAAGCACATCACGAGGTAAGACCGCTGATAGCAAGACACCTATAGCAAACGGATTCTCAGCTAGACTGGCATACATGTTTGCATCTGTAGTCGGGGACGGGATAAGGAGACGTTCTCGCTCTGTCTCCCCACCTCGAAAGGAGACGGTAGACCAACCTCTTGGTTTTGATCGAGTGAATCTCGGGAAGAAGGCGGCGGTTGCATCCGTGGGCAAGGAAGGAAGAATCAAATACGTGGAGGCCTTGAAGAGGGAGATTCTGAACAAGACAAAGTATCAACTCGAATCCCTTTGCAAAGCTAACAAGATCAAATACTACAACAAGAAACAGGCGTCTGCTGATTTGGCTGAAATAAGTGCACGGGACGCTTATGAAGACGACTCGGAAGAGGAAGGACTTGATAATATTGCACTGCACATTCAGGAGGAGAATCCCTCCTAAGAATCGGTAAAATCGGCACTGATGGGGAACTATTGGAGGAAAACACGTAAACACAGGTCGGAAGTTCGGAAAACAAGTAGAGAATGGGAGGATCGCGAATCTTGGGCACATTTTCTCGTGATTACATTGGTATGTCTTGGCCAATTAGCCTGGGCAGGTAAGTTTGTTCCTACTTGGCTAGACCTCTATCAGAATGGGTTCGATATGTTCTCACCAACAGGACCGTGTGTGTATCTTTTGATGTCTCCATGTTATCGGGCCGTATACATTGGATTAACGTCCCGCTGTCTGTCGGTTAGATGGCATGAACATATCCGCCTAGTATCGAATGGTAAGGAGGGAAAAAACCATCGACTAAAGCAATGGCTAAAGAAAAAAGGATGGCACTCATATGTAGCTATTCCGATTGCATTTACTCATATAGAGGAGATTAGAGACGTTGAATCATCACTTATAGCCCGCTGGTGTCCAGTCCTGAACTCGCGTTCCTCTCCTAAGAAGCATGGGCGTAAGAGGAAAGGGAAACGAGAGAGGGCTGCATTTAGAAAAATACAGGGTAGGAGGGATGCTCATAGCATTGCCCCAGAAAGGTTAGTCACTTTCTCTATAACACCTGGCTCTAGTCTTATCTCAGCTCTCTCCCCCACCTCGTTATCTCTTCTATCCCAACTGAAATTTTGTTATAAGGAAGGATTTGTATTCGCCACAGTTTTGAGCTCAGGCGACAATGTTTTTTTGGATGCATGGAGACGAATCAATAGGAATTTTGGTTCAAGTACAGTATCATGCAACGGACGCACTACCTTGCTGAAATTTTTAAGGTTTGAAATCATGAATGGGGGGGTCCTCCATTTCACTTGTATTCGCAGACATTCCGATGCTAGAGATTGCAGGATAAGTATCCTTCTTTCTCTCCTTCATGTCCCCTGGACTGCACGACAGCTGAATTCTTTCTCCCTCCCCAATCTCATAAAAATGTATAATACGATTGATATGGCTTTTTAAGGAAATACGGGCACGAACTTAAAAGTAATTATCGGACCTGTAATCTCAAGAAAAACTGGATTCGCATGTGTCAATCCCATTGTTGTCAAAATCCGCTTCGATACTCACGTCAGAAAATCGTTAGTCGCTAACATCACGAAAGAGGCTATCAGAAAACGGGTAACTCCTGCATGTGTAGCTGAATTCATGATGGTAAAATTACGAGTAGTGTGGCTGGGAAACAAATCAGTTGGGAATCTGATTCACAACCATCGGTCATTCACGAAGAGTGGAATTCATAGTTGTATTTGTAATACCTCGGCACTCCCAAAGAACGTGCAAGGTCACGTCTCTTTCAGGTTCTCTTAAATCCATGATCTTCCGACAGTTCTTTCAAATGGGAAAAACGTGTGTCAGCCGCCGAAGTCGGTAACCATCGGCCATATCAAACGCGCAGTAGTTGAAGGTTTGAAAAAAGTTCCGAATCTAACAAATTTTCCCCCCTCCTATAATGGCATTTTAAAGTGCTTTGGCACTTCTCCTCGACAAACGACTTACCTCTCTCTCAATGAATCCGCAACTAGATATGTCTCAGAGTTGGAACGGTTCCCTACGATGCCAATTGACCATAATCCAGGCGACACGTACGTATGCTTCCCTCATATTTACCTGGAAGCAATGTGGTCACTCTTTGTGAATAATCCCGGGTATGAGATTGATCATCGCATGGAAAACGAACTTGTCTTAAGTTCCACTAAAGATGAGTTCCTTGATTCAAAATCTCATCTCATTTCTGACTGGATGAAGAAAGGATCTCTGGGTAGTTGCTATGTGATTCCAAAACATAAGGATATTACTAGATGGAGACCAATTGCACCATCCTTTTCGGAACCCACAGTTCGAATTTGTAGAATAACAAGAAAAGTCATCAATGGCCTACTCTGGGCTCTTCTGCGAGGGATGCATTTCAACCTCAGATCAACTAGCATGGCAAGAGTCAGGATTGATGCAATAAACAAAAAAGTCAATCGATTACACAACGGTTTCATAATCTCTGCAAGTTTTGACATCAAGGAGATGTTTACTAAACTTCCCCACTCCTCCATCTTGAAATCAGTCTCCTGGATCTGCAATTTCTTCAAACAAAAAGGTCTGCGGAAAATTTGGGTAAATAGGACGGGAAAAGGGGTATCTTTTTCAAAAAAAACGCAGGGCAGCTCCTGGGTAAAACTGTCACTCTCTCAGATTATTGGATCGGTAAGATTTGAGCTTAGTAACAATTATGTAGAAGCAGGCGACTGTATTCTGCGACAGTTGGTAGGTATCCCAATGGGCAAAAACTCGAGCCCCGCGCTAACATGTCTTCTCTGTTCTTACAACGAATTCAATTTTATAACCTCATTTGGGACAGATAGTACATTTCTTTCTGGATTAAGACTGGTGGATGATGTTGGACTCTTCTTATTTTTTCCCAGACAGAATATTCGATATGCTACTAAGGCGTTTAACATCAATAAGAAATTTTTAAATACCTATGATCCAGATCTCAGTCTTCTCATAACAGACGATAGGACGGGAACTTGGGACTTTCTGGGAACATTAATCTCTACGAAACTTTCTCTGCCTTCCACCACATGTGTCGCAACCATGAGAAATCAAGATTGCCTACTATCGAAAGGACCCCTCAAGATTATCTCGACTCAAGACTACGACTCGTTTGGACCAGTTTTGCAGAAGAAAGGGATAATAATGGGTCATATGAAGCGAATCATGGTCCACACCTCAGACCACAGAGGTGTGGGCTTATGCCTGCTCTTTTCACGAAGAGAGCTTCGGTTGAAAAAATTCCCACATAGGTTTTTTCTCAGTACTCTCAGGAGGTTTTCTAGGAACCATGACGAGGTATGGGAAAACTGGGTAACTATGTTTGAAGAATACGAGCAGTGGTAACCCCGAAAAAAAGGGGTCTGATTACCGGTTCTTTCAAGTGGGGTACAACCCACTGAACCGGGGGCCTAGCCCGATTTCGGACAAGGACCCAGCATGGGTATATGCCATTTAGTTTGCCAATTCACTCTCCGACTCGCTAAGTGTACCATCACGCAAATTTAAGGAAAGATACCACCTACATCTGGCTCTCTTTGATGAATTGATGGTGGGTCTTGTACGAGCACTGACAGTTCGGAATTTCGCAATCAGATGCAACGGTAGAGCGGTCAACAATAAGCGAGGTAATCTACGATAGGGCGACTGCTTCCCCTGCATCCCTAACCGCCCTTACACTGCTCCCTGCGCCTATCCTCTCTGGGGAGTCCTTCTCTCTCTCTCTCTCTCTCTCTCTCTCTCTCTCTCTCTCTCTCTCTCTCTCTCTCTC